GGTTTTCTCTCTGAGACAGAGAGAAAGAAAGAGAGAGAGAGAGAGAGAGAGAGAGAGAGAGAGAGAGAGAGAGAGAGAATGTTCTAAATGGTTGTTTTCCTTATTTCTGAGACACAGACAGAGACCAAATGTGCTAAGTGGTGATTTTTCTGTAAGTCTGGGACAGAGACAAAGAGCAAGAGCAACAGAGAGAGAGAGAGAGAGAGAGAGAGAGAGAGAGAGAGAGAGATATTGTAAGGGGTAGTTTTGTGTATGTCTGAGAGACAGAGACAGAGAATATTATAAGAGGTCATTTTTCTTTAGGCCTGAGAGAGAGAGAGAGAGAGACAGAGAGAGAGAGAGACAGAGAGAGAGAGAGACAGAGAGAGAGGCTTCCTCTGTGTACAGGGTGAAGACAAGTCAGATTGCTAAGCAAGCTCAGCCTCTCGACTTTGGATTCATGAAACAACGAGGTTGGTCTGTCCGTGCAGGAAAACCCCGGGAACCAATTTCCTCTACTACTTAATAACTCGGTGCTGACATTTCAGAAAACTCTGCATCCCAGCGCCTCCAGGCAAATCAGCAGAACAGTCTCACGTCTGTGCTGCAAGGCACATCCCTCACCCCGCGCGGCAGTACCAACCCCAGAGTCGAGCTTGGGTGTTTCTAGGTTCTTGGTGTTTTATTCTAAGATGTGAAAAATAAGAGCTCACAGACATCATCAAAAGAAGCCGCATAATTTTACAGAGATATTATAAAAGAATGACTATATATATGAATGAATGAATGAATGAATGACTATATATATGAATGAATGAATGACTATATATATATGAATGAATATATATATGAATGAATATATATGGGGTGGCTCCCAAGACATGTGATCTGACTGGCTGTCTGTCTTGACTGATAGATGAGGTCATACGTTCACGTTATTCCGCGTGTCGTTTCCTGTAATGTGTCCAGTCTTAATCATACGCATATCCGATGGTGCGGAGGATGGTCGGTAGCCTTCCTTCATCACCCAAAGAACGCCACGTGTCCCGCTGGACGCACACCCAAACCCAGCTCATGTGGGATTAGCGTTTGCCTTTTTCCCACCTGGATAGATTGGGAATACACTCGAATAGAAAATGTATAAACTTGATCACCACGGGGCGTGTGGAAGCCCAGGGTATTATTGTTCAGAGACAGGTGTGTTCAGAGCCTGGGGTAGCTGAGGGGCTGCTGAGGGAATTCTTTGCAGAAGGGGGTCTTTGTGTGGTACAGATAAAGGGGCTTCTGAATGACCCTCATCCAAGGACACCCCGGGTTACTAAATACTGATGATGCCCCCTGCATCCCCTCGCATCTTTCTAGATTACGGGGAACTGGACCACTGTGTACTTGGCATCAAGTGCTGTGGACTTGATCAAAGAAGACGGACCCTTGAGGACCTACTTTCGTCATATTGGATGCAACAATAAATGCAAGATTCTCAACCTGTCTTTCTATGTCAAGTAAGTAAGACAGAAACAGAAAGAGACACTCCGCCGCAGCCAGCTGGGCACGGCGGGTCCTCACACAGTATTTCCGTGATGACGCTCGGCAATCACCGTTTTCCTAGATTGATTCGAGCGTTGCTGAATTTGGTTAAGCAAAAATGTGTGTCTCTGAACTTAGTGTTTTCAGATATAGTCAAACATATCAACACACGTGTGAAGATAAATAAGTATGAGACAGAATAATGCTTTGATAATAGGTCTTCCACCCACCTCCGACAGTGTCTTTTATGTCCTTAAGGAATGATGTTTTAGAACCAAGACATGGACGGAAGGTATAAAAATCCAAAGGCATATATGTTGGAGTCACAGCGAGGCCAGAATGGTTTGATGTGCAGCGTGCTGGTGTTCAAACTGCAGGAGCACTGTTACAGAGCATTGCGCTACAGTCAAAACTCGGGTTGAGACGGATAGTTCCCCAACACTACATTTTTCTGAAGCGTCTCCCTGTAGGCCCAGCTGGGCTGGCCCTCGCTGTGTAGACCAGGTTGACCTCCAGCTCACAGAGATCCACCTGCTTCAGCCTCCCGAGTGCTGGGATCAAAGGCGTGCACTGCCATGCTTGGTGCGCTGTGACTTTTCTGTGTCTCTTCTAGGGACTCAGTGAAAAGGACTGGGGAGCTTTGTTCTGTGTGTCCTGAGAACGAGCTCTGACGGCCACGCTTCGGGTGTTAAATGCAAGAGTTTATCAAATACACAGCAAACCACGCTTTAAGAAATACACAGCGTGTGGTAGATACAGATAGAGGATTCAGAGACGCATAGAAGATAGAGACAGATTAGATAGAAGATAGATGGAAGATAGATGATAGATAGATAGATAGATAGATAGATAGATAGATAGATAGATAGATGATAGATAGATAGATAGATGA